TGTATTAATCCGGTATTAATTAAATAAAGTATTACAATTGGCATTATAAAAAAAAAAAAAAAAAAAAAAAAAAAAAAAAATTATATTAACTGCATTAATTGAGAGTTAAAAAAATAGAAGGCTAATATTGGAATTAGCTATAGTAATAAAAGTCATATAACTTTTTTTTTTGCATAGATTAAAATAATCCTAACTTTGTATACTGTAAAGTATATAAACTTAACCTTGTTAGAAGTCAGCAAAAGCTTGATCTGTATACTTGTAAAGGCAGTAACACTTTAAATATAATAGCCCACTTATATGATAAGCATAATATAATTAAAAATAATTATACTGATTACTTGAACAAATATAATAAAGTATGATATTATTAATGTTAGTTAAAATTAAAAAATTCAACTTGTTGAATGACATTTAAATTATGCTATTCAGCAAGTTAAATTTTTTAATTTTGACTATAAATTAAATTAACTTATTAATATAAAAAAATTTATTAACCTTACATATTAGCCAAAATGTAATCAAACCAAAGTTACCAATTATTTTAACTATGCAGTACCATTATGTTTATTATATATGCAATAACTAATAGCAAGAAAATTAATTCAATTTATTATTTAGTTTATTAAGCCTCTTTATATTTTACAAAATAATTTTTTTCATAAATTAATTTATATCTGTATGCCTGAATTTTAAATGCTATGTGACAAAACTGCCAAGAGCTTGATTTATGAAGCATATAATTGGACTCATAGTCAGTTAAGATCTTTACTTAGTAGTAGTACAATAGCTGTTCACTTGTTTACAGACTTGTAAACAGTAAAGTTCTGTTATAGCTATTTAGACATTATAGTAATTTGGCTATTTTTGAATTTTAAACTTCAAGAGGCATTACTTTCTTGTGATCATCTTGCATACCTGCATACTGAAAAAATAATTAGTAAAGAATTACTTTATATAATTTATGAATGACAGCTTAAGATAATAGTTTTTGGTATAGCTACAGATAATAGTACTAACATGGTTAAAGAAATAAATTTATTATATGAAAACTACTTTAACCATATAGTATATCAACTCTGTGCTATCTACATATTACAACTATTAGTCAAGAATGAATTAAAACAATTTAAATCTATCCATCATCATATTAAAAGCTTACAAGCTTTTTTTCAACTTTTTAAACAGACACAATGTTTACAAAAAACACAATATGAATTTAATATAAATAAAATAATCAAAATATTGTTGCAAATCTTCTTAATGTTTTAACAGATATGAAAACAAGATAGAACTCCATCTATTTGGCCTGAAAACACATTTTAGAATTGCATAATGCAATGTAATTTGTTTTAACTTCTTTATTTGCCAAGACAGATCATGCTTTTCAAAAAGAGAAGAAAAAACTAGAAAGCTTATATTTATCAATTAGCAAAAAAGAGTAATTAAAATTTTACTTAAATTTGTTTATTTAATTATTATATAATTACTATATAGTGCTATATACAATAAACCTTGTAGAAGTATTGTGACCTAGTAAAGTGAATAGGTTGTCAATCCTTAAGTGGCAAGCCTAAGATTCAATTCTTATGAATAATGAATTTTGGAAATTATATCTGTGTTATAGTAACTGTATCTTGCTGATTAGTTGGGTTTTGAGCATCTGTAATCTTAGATATACCAAGTTGGGTCTCACCTGACATTAAAAGCTTGAAGCATCTATACAAAATATAATATTACATGTACATAAAGAAATGTGAAAAACTAGTATTGTATAAGGCTTTAATGCAAATCCATGATAAGACCACCAGGCGTAAAAGGCTAAGAAACCAAGAAGATAAAAACCTACTTGAAAATTCCGAGTAAAGAAATAGCACAAATATTCAATGATGCCATTGGACTGATAAAAGCCTATAAAACACCTTCATAAAAACTGTTGAATAAACCAGATAACAAGATGTGTAGAAGAGCATATGACCAATCAGGCTGCTGAAATCACTAAAAGAAAAAGATATATAAGTATACTATACTAGGCCATCTGGATTAAAAGTCTGAGAAGTCAGTTAGTTTTAGGTTGTGGCTAGTAGAAGATAATGAAGAAAAAGTCAGAAAGATGAGTACCAGAGTTTGAGTAAACTTTACAAGAGTAATAGTAGTTTAATGGGTAACTTTGACTGCAAGTGTTAGTCTTGGCTATAGAGTTAAACCAGATTAGTGATAAAAAAAAATATGGCTCACTCTGGTAGATTTGCTCAAGAATAAAAATAGTCTAAGGATTATAGTTCTATAGTTAAATGCAAATAGATCTAAGTTTGTGATTCAGTAAAATTAATACTAGAGTCAGATTAGAGAGTTTAAATAGAACATCTAAGCAGGAGTGTTAAGTATAGCAACTAGTAGGGAATCTTCAAGTGGACTTCTTAAATAGGTAATATAGAAAAGTTACATGTATAGCCAGTTGTATACTTGTCTGATAGTTTATTATAAATTTGTCTATATAAAATATGTATCTAATATAAGTATTAATAAAAAACTCGAACCAACATATCAGCAGATTTACTAAATTGGACCTTTTTTGTGATTCCGAAATATCAATGGATTTACTAAATTAGTGATCCCCAAATTATTAATGTTACACTATTTTGTAATCATCTGATCTCAGGTGACCCCAAAAAAACGAACAATATGCACCCTAAATATAACACTTCTAATAGTCTACTTACCCGGAACCCATCCTTCTTAGTAGAAACCCATCCTTCAAATAAGTCAGATTTGGCTTTCAAGCCTTTTACTTAAGTAATGTTTTAGTTAGATTTTAGCTTTACCAAGGTGTAGTAATCAAAATAATCAGGTTTAGCACTGCCTTCGCGAGTAGTAAGATTACAATAATTTCATCCATATTTGTACAGAAGTAGTTAAACACTTTATTAGTAGTAATTATTATAAATATAGCTAACATATATATAATTAATTTGAAACATTCCTATTATAGTAGGTTCTAAATGCTTTTACCGGGTCTTTATGGAAAAATCTTTACCTAAAAGATGTTATATTCAGAGCGTTAAATATTTGTATACATTATATATTTGAGATCAGAAGAAACCATAAATTTAAGAAGGATTTATAATAGCTGTGTTTAATGAAACTTAAGTGTTGACTGTATGTAAATAGGTATGAATTTTATAAATTTATTTAAATTGGTTGAAAAAAATAAAGATTGGCACCTACTATATATTAACTTAGTAACATACTTTTAATTTAGTATATAAATGAGCAATATTACGCCGCCAACTACATCTACCTTGTCTCTTGCTTTGTGTTCTTTGTGTCCAAAAAGTTTTAAAAATCAACATGTTTTGCAAATACATGAAGGTCGTATGCATTATTCTGTCTTTGATCAAGCTACTACCTCTTCAGCTATGGGAATTACATGTGTCTCCTGTTTATTATGTTCACAAAAAACTTATAAAAATAAGCAGAGTCTTGGAAGACATGAACAGCTTATTCATTCGGATTATAACACACCACGTACTGGAGTTACTATTTTGCCGCCTGATGCTGTTTATGAGTTTAAAAAAATGTTAGTGTATTTAATTCAAACGAAGCTCTCTAATAATAGTAATTTTACAGGAAAACAACGTGTAACTGCTCCATGCACAGAAAGTCAATTTGTTGCAGTATTCGGGAAGCATTTAAGATGCTATGTTCCTAGTAAGGGATTATATCAATGTGTTTTTAGTGGTGAGGGAGCATACAAAATATTAAGTAGAATCTTTGAGGATCCAAACTGAGGAATTAGACAATATACTCAGCAACAACAAACAGCAGTTATTCTTTTTTCTTTAACAGATAGTTCAAATAATTTCTCAAATTCAGAAAACTTAGAAACTGATAGTGAATTTAGTAAGAAAAAAAAACAACAAAAGCGCAAACTAATTAAATCAAATACATTTGAATTTAATATTGAATGGAAAATCCGTACGATTATAGATACTGTTAATCATACATCACAAGCTGGATATATTACGATACGATTTGTGACAGATACAAGATATTTCTGATAAGATTTTCAAATAAAGAAATCTGAAACCTTTATACTTATGAATGTGTAGTAATGTGATTAGATTGTTGAATTCTTTTTTTTTTTTTTTTTTTTTTTTTTTTTTCTTTAAGCAGTCACGCTAGTACTTTATTAAGATTTTGAAACTACATTTGCAATTACATAAATATCCTTAACAACTAAGT